AAGTAGATCAACTCAGTTCAGAGGAATTATTACAAAAATTACAATTTAAAGGGAAATTCCACCTTTTAGAAAAAAATGATAAATGCACACTTCCTCATAAAAAAAATATTGTGCATTTAGTATTTTGTTGCCTTGGAGCCAGCAAAGCAATGCAACGTGCGATCTGACCATGTTTCACGTTACACCCTGAATATGAGTGTAATATGAAACATGGTCAGAAAGGTAGACTTAGCCTTTAAAGTGTTTAGGAGAGAATTGATCACATTGTACAACTTTATCAATGGTAGTATTGGTAATAAACTGTTTTCTTTAAGGTAACTAAAGAAGACCCGCCGCAACCAATGGAGACTGGATGAAAAGAAGTTTAATCACAAACTGTGTGTTTTACCACACTTAAAGCCCAATTTCAGGGAAATTAAATGTTTTCTCTTGCAATGGGCTTGCCCCACCTGTGTAAAGGACTTTTATTTACCTTACCCCCACTCATACGGATGTCAGAGATCACCTCTTCTTCCCCTCCACTCCAGGTGTGGACTGCCCCTCAGTGTCCTCATGTACAGTGCAGGGCTAATTGAAGACATCAGTGGGCCTTAATTCATGAGTACTACCAGGGTTGCAGCGGTTGCAGCTGGGACCTGGCTCTGGCACTCCACCACTGTCCTGAAATTAGTCTGTATTGTATTAGAAAAACTGTTACATGGCACTAAACAAGAATGTATCAGTACTTGTATCTGTGAGTACTTGGACAAGTATCAGTACTTGAAAAAATGGTATCAGTGCATCCCTAATATATATTTATAAAAGACAAATACACATACATTAAAACGGGGTGCACAAATCCCAAGAGCTCCGTATGCTCCTTAAAAATGATCGTTGCCTCTTAAATTTTAAATTTTTCTCTAGTCTAGTCTTGGAGCTGGAAAAGTATCTATACTTGTACTTGTACCAAGTACGGTACTTGGTATCTGAACATCCCTACCTTTATCTTACCTCTCAATTATTGCATATAGAAATAAAGGAAAATATGTGGTGCAAAAGAAGCACTTGTGGATTTAACCAGTCACTTTTTGTGTATATATTCTTTGTGTCACTGGCAGCAAGCAGTGTGTCCTTTGATAATATACTTTGTACTATAAAGTCTCCCTTCTTTCTTATCTCAGAAAGTTGGATGTATGTATAGGAATTCTTAATGACTCATATACACAAACAGGTTGAACTGGATGGACCTGTGTCTTTATTCAACCCTGCCATCTAGGTAACCTTATGTATTTACTTTCATCTTAACAGTTGCATACTTTATTTGTATCTTTATAAAACTAACAGAGTCGCTTTAAAGTGACACTAAACTCAGGAATTAAATCTTAAAAATGCATTCAAATACCTTAAAGGAGAACTATGGGCCAACATTTTTCGCCCATAGTTCTCCTCAGGGTCACGAGAGGACATATACTGTGTCCACCAGTGACCCAAAAAGCAGTATATAGCGGGCTATTAATTGACCAAAAAGCACCGCACTATCTCCCCCCTTTATAAAACTAGCAATCACAATTAGAGATGCACCGAAATGGAAATTTTAAAACCGAAACGAAACCGAAATAAAAAAATGTCAGGCCGAAACCGATACCGAAAATGTTTTTTATTTTTAATAACATTCATAATTGAGGATATAGTTAACATACCATATCCTCAATTATGTACACACACTCAGCGACCACTGATCGCTGAGTGTGTGTACCTTGCTTTTCTCTCTGACGCGCTGTCACAGGACGCTGATCGAGCGGTGTAGAGAGGAGAGCCCAGCCTCCTGTGACAGCGCTGTCTCCGCCCCCATACCGCTCTCCCAGACTGTGATAGGCGGCCGAGCGGTGTGGGAGGAGAGACGCCGGCCGCTCACAGCGCTCTCATCCTGCAGCGCTCGGCCGGCTGTCACTTTCTTTTCTCCCCGCTGGAACAAAGAGCAGCGCCCAGCGGGGAGAAAAGAAACCAGGGATGTGCGGATGTATCGGCCGAAACATGGCTCTTTCGGCATTATGCCAAAAGTGCAATTTTCGGACGATATGTTTCGGCGGCCGATATATCGGTGCATCCCTAATCACAATAGATCAACAAAACAAAGGTAATGCCAAAGTATCATTCGGAAAATATTGGAAAAAAATCAACAAACAGAGTGCTAAAATTCAGACAGTATACATAAAACCATCATGTGAAAAAGTGCAAAGTAAACCTCCATAAAATCTCCTTTTTTGAAAATCCTCGTCGACGAGTAATCAGCGGTGGGAAGTGTTGTCTAAGTGCTCCACTTCAAATAACGCAATGTCTTAAATATATTTATACGTGATATATATAGCTATATATATAGCTATATATATCTATATATATTTAAAAAACTAGAGGCCATAACCTAAAATTGGTGGAAAAAAATTCCAGCACAAGGGGTGAAGGGGGTTCATCACAGTTAGAGCGGTTAAGGTCTGGAACTCACTGCCACAGGCAATGATTTCAGCAAAAAACGTGGAATTGTTCAAGAAACTTTTGGACGATTTTTTAAGGGACCGCAATATACAGGGGTACAAGTACTCCTAAAAACGAGATCCTATAGGTTGGACTTGATGGACTAATGTCTTTATTCAACCTCAAATACTATGTAACTATGTGTTCCTTAATTTCAATCCATGCTCTCCCTTCTGTGTAATTTGTTTCTTTTTTCCACTCACCAGACACTCCAGTTAGTATAAACAATCTTTAGTTATCTCCTCTATTCCTCTGGTGTCTCGATCTCCAACAGTACACTTTAACAAATCCTCAGTTTAACAATTTTTAGCTGTTTGTTAGTTGTTTTTTTTATCCTTTTCCTTCTCTATGAGAATGTTCTTCTTATTTTGCCATTATTAAATCACATCTATGTATGTAAACATCAGAAAGAATGCACATAGCATAAAATCATTTAGGTAATTTATTACGCAAACAAAATAAAAAACTTACATGACCACAGATGTAAGTCGGCACTGTACAAAAAAACGCGAGTTTGGAGCGGTGGCTACTTTATAACACAATAAAAGGTGATCAGCGCCAGTAAGTGTAATGTGGAAATAAGAGCTACCAAGCACTAAGGATATAACTAAATATCTGAAAAATGTGAAAAACAATATTGTGCCGAGCTAATAATCATACATATCTAATAAATTGAAACATATATAAGTGAGTCACATATATGAGCCTTCAAACAAATGAGGCATAGAAAATATCTACACAAAGACAAAAAAGCAATATAGACAATAAAAAGTCTCAAGGAAAAAACAAAAGCAAACAATGGTGATTGTGCAAAAAAAATCCTTCAGATGATTCGCAGCCAATCTGCATATAACTCTCAGGTAAGGATAATCACACAATGCAGGCAGACCTTCACCTCCACCCAGTGAGTGATGACAACAAGTGAGTGCTCACCTGGGGGAGGTAGACCTACAGAGCTAGGTCAAATGCGCTTTTTCCCTTCTTAATGGGGAGGGAAGCCCAAGCACAGAAAAGGTGATAAGGTCTCCTCAGATCACAGGTACCAGTATAAATAATTATATAAACAGTACAGGCATTGGGTATTGCTGGATCGGACCAGCAGGGCAAATGGCAGCAAAGCGATAAAAAAACCTGGTTGTCCGCAGGGCTGTAGCTACCATGGGGCGAGTGAGGCACTCGCCTGAGGCGCAGCTGAGAGGGGGACCCCTAACAGTAAAATAATAATAAAAAATAAATAAAAACAAAAACACACTCATGCACACATATTACTAGACATGTGCAAAGAATAACAATTAGTTTCTGACAAAATGAACGGAAATTAAAAATGTTTTCATTCGTTTCGTTAACTTAACACATTTTTATGCTATTTTGGATTTGGCCACCAGCGCACCTCTGCACATGCGCACCGCCATCCTGGAGGTGATGTCACATACCGCTCACGTCGTCTTTTGGGGGGCACCAATTTCTGTTCTTGCCTCGGGCACAAAAGGAGCTAGCTACGGCTCTGTTCGTCCGGCTCAGCTCAGTGCGGTGACATCAGAAGCTCTGCCCTACGTATGTTACGTCAAAACACGTGACTTCATCAGGGGTCTGGCTAGATGGCTTTATTGTCTATATTGCTTTTTTTGTCTTTGTGTAGATATTTTCTATGCCTCATTTGTTTGAAGGCTCATATATGTGACTCACTTATATATGCTTCAATTTATTAGATATGTATGATTATTAGCTCGGCACAATATTGTTTTTCATACTTTATAACACACACAGGGACCATCGGGAACAAAAGTAGCCACCCTCCAGAAGAAAGGACAGTGTCAGCACCAATTCAGAGATGATTTGAGGATCTACAGCCGAGTGATACACAAAAAAGATACGTTTTTGTTAATAGTTAGGGTACTTGAATGCATTTTTAAGATTTAAAGTCTGAGTTTAGTGTTAATACTTTATTTGCAATGTTATAAAACTAACAGTCGCTTTAATAAGGCCTCAAGTGACTAACTACTAGTAGTTCTGGCCTGGAGCAATTAAAAACTTCACAGACAAGCCCAACAAACTTTTTCAAACTGATTCAGCAGCCTTGCCTAATCTGGGAATTCCACAGTTTTGTAGTTCACAAACAAATGTGAACTTGAATACATGAAAACTTCTGCGCAGAGCAGTGACAGGGGAATACCTGAAGAGCCGGTGACATCACTGCTCACACAATACTATGTTCATTTCCTGAAGGCAGGATAACACTACCTTGGTTATTGTAATCATGTAAAGCTCAGGAAAGGAGCTATTTATATCTGTTACAGAAATATAACTGATAATTTAAACCAGTAACAGATCTTTTTTTTCTTATATTATTTTTAGTCTTCTTTCCCTTTATCGTTTACTTGTGAGATCCGTGACATGTGGGTCGTAAAACAGGAACTGCTGGATGTCTGATTTTTCTCCTTTCAGTTTCACTAGTTAATGACTGGATTGTTCAGAGGGCTGGAGGGGGAAGTGTGGCTTTTACTTCATCCAGGAAGAATTTTTTTTTCTCATAGCCGGAGTTACACTGTTTGAACACGCTGGATTATCACAATTCTCCGTACTTGGGATAAGAGTGTCGACTCATAAAATGAGCAGCAGTGCGAGCAGTCAGGAGTCTGGGTGTTGCTCCCCTGCGCGTTACCAACAGGAGAACTTGTACCACCAGACCGCCAATATCAGCAGCAACCTTCAACTCATCCCCTACACCAAACTAACAGGTCTAAAGTTTATTAACAAGGGAGCTTATGGAACTGTACACAAGGCCTTCCATGCCGACTGGAGAGTACCGGTAGCTGTAAAGTTCTTCCCAAAAGAGCGCCATCTAGTGGAAAGGTGGGTGTCACTTATTATGAATTTGCATAGAGATTAAACTGGCTACATAGCTAACATTGAGAAGTCTGGATTGGAAGGGAAATCTACTAACATAATAAACGTTGGCAGAGATTTACAGATTATCCGGTTATGTGCAATTCATCACATTTTTGTGTTATTATTGTGAGTTTCAGCACCGCAATGGCTGAAGGGTGGAAGTAGTTTCCTTGAAGTTGTGGGAAAGTTTTATAGACTTTGGGGTAATGTACAGCATTGAGAACCTCTGTCAGGTAGGATTGTGGTAATGAAGGAGAGGTGCTGGAATGTTATGTATACTTCTGTTGGTGGTATTTATTTTGATAGTCTGTACGCATCTGTCTAATCCTAAGGAGCTCTCAAGGCAGTCCTCAATGAATCAGAAGAAAGACAGGTAGGGGATGAAAGTGCCACTCCACTGAACAAACATTATACCAGTTGGTTTAAATAGCTGTCTTTACTGAACCTAAGTGGCTCTTTTTTTCCCTCACCCTTCTACCTTATTGGGTAGATTTCATCTCAGTTCCTGCCCCAGAGAAAGGTGTCTCTGGAATAGGAAGTACTGGGAAATGTCTTCAATGGGGACAAGGACAGAAACAAAAACATGTAGGGGCTGATTTAACCACTATCTACTCTCCACAGGACACTGCCATGTTCATATGCCATTTATAAAATGCAGAACGCAGTGTGGAGCCTATGGCGTCTTTGGAGCCTAAGGTCAATCTGTGAACTCAGTAACATTGCCGGTTAAAGTCATGCAACAAATGTCCTTCTTCTCCTGACGATTTCCCTCATTCATTATAAGGATGGGGCTTCACTTTCTTCAGAGTTTTAGAAGTGAGTAAAGGCCTGGTTGTTTGTCTGAGACAGGTTTTGTGATCCCATACAAGTCTATGCCTAACCCTTTTGCTGCCAGCGCCATATGCCTTATGCCAGGCTGTGGGAACCTGTAAACAGGCAGTCTGTTTACCTGTTTAAAACTGACTGTAGCTTTATCCTGGAAGCGACTTTTCAGCCGCCAGATTGCTTCCAAGGGTTAGTAAACGGAGCACCTGACTATTCACTGTCCTTCAGACTAGTGATGGACCGAGCAGGCCTGAATTCGGTTTCAACTCGAACTTTAGAACATCAAAAACGTTTGAATTCAAACTCCAACTCAATGCAAGTCAATGCAATGCAAGTGGGGGTAGAACTTTCAGAAACAATTGGTCCTTTAAGAGGGCTTATATGGAAGTTATTGGCCATAAAAAAAGTATCGGGGTCCGGGTACTGCACAAAGGGAACAGGAATCAATTAAATAAAAAAAAGTTTTTAAAGGAGCAGTGATTTTTACATCTCTTAAAAGGTAAGAAAAGAAATGAAAAATTATTTTAAATATCATGCCTGGGGGGTCCCCTTAAACTGCCTGTGAAGTGGGGGATCTGTACAACGTATAGAACCGGCTGCAGCAAAAAGTGACATTACAAAAAAAATAAAAATTACATTTCAATTGCCTGTAACTGCCTCTCCTTGTTGGCCTTTCCGACATAATGCTTATTGCAACAGACTGCAATAATCGAATGTTATAATTGACTACTATAATAGACCAGTATGACTGACTGCTATAGTACAGAACGCTGTATAGAACTCTGATATCGAATGCTGATATCGAACGCTGATATCGAACGCTGATATCGGACTCTGATATCGAACTCTGATATCGGACTCTGATATCGAACTCTGATATCGAGCGCTGTATAGATCTTTGCTATTGAACTCTGATAGAACACTGTCTTAGTTTATCTCCAGCAACACACTACGTAGGGCTGTGGTGTAAGCAGCCTTATATAGTGCGCTGCTGGGACTTAGCAGTGAGGCATGATTGGGCAAAGTCATCAGAGTACTGAGTACATCTGAGTACATCTTACAGAGTACTGGGGTCAGGTGCAAGCCTTTAACCAATTAGGGCTTCACAAGGCACATTGCCTTGTGGGGTGTTCAGTGGTCAAACAGACCACTGTACACCCTTATAGTTCATGTGCTCAGCGAACACACGGACAAACGATGTTCGAGTCGAACCTTCGTTCAACTCGAACATCCAGCCCAACACTACCCCCCCAATACCTTTTGGGGGGTGGGCTGTGGCCAGTGGGAGTAGAAAATACACTGGCATCAGTGGTCACTGGGAGTAAAGAATCCCCCAGGCTCGGTGGTTAGTGGCAGTTAAAAATGCCTAGTGTTTGTAGTTATTAGCAGGAGGAAATAATTCCCCATTGATACCAACCATTCCCCATTGATACCAACCATTGTTGGTCCAACCATTGTTGGTAAGGAATAGCACCCTGTCATTGGTGTCATTGAAGGAATAATGCTCAGTCATTGGTGTCAGTGAAAAAATAGTTCCCCATCATTGCTGTCAGTCGGAGGAATAAGTGACCCATCGTTGGTGTCAGTGGAAAGAATAGTGCCCCTAGGGCAAAGGGCCACAGTTCGTTGACCGCTTCTCAATAATATCGCCTTTGTTTCTCCCCCAGGAGGTTCCATTAAAGTTTATGTAGGGCGGGGTAGAGGAGCCCTCAAGTTTTTTATTCTAAGGATTACCGGAAACATCCCCTCTATGTTATGAAGATGATGTGAGGGGGAAGTGTTCGGTAGTTAAGGGAGAACTAATCGGGGCTAATAACACTGCTTATTAGCCCTTTATAATTTAGTGCAGCAGAGGTAGAGGTGACAGCTCTCCTTAACAAAGGGAATCTGTCAAAAAGAACACTGTTTCAGATGGACTGCCATTTTGTGGTTCCTTGCCCACATACCAGTTCCAACGCAGCAACATCACTTACAGTGAAGCTGTATAGTCAGCTTCATTGCCCAGAATTTGTTTTCAGCTTATGAGAGCATCTGTCATCAGTTTCGGCAGCTTCTGAACCCAAAGCAAGGGCAACGTAACACATAACAGCTGTGGGTAATAAAGGCTTTTACACATACACAAATCCTCAATTATCCATCTTTGGTAACCTGTTGCCTAGCAACATGGCATCAGCATCTCCACAAAGATCAGCCGCTGACATTTAACAAAAAAAAACAAGAAGAAGAAGGAGGAAAAAGATGACACCGCCAAGAATGACACAGAGTAACTGGTGGAGGCACTGCGGGGGACCTATAGCAATTTCCATGCTAAATAGATATTTTTTGTACGTATTATTATATTTATGTGTGTATGCATTTATATAATTCTTTCACCCCAGAGACAAATAATAAGCATAACAGGAAACTTGGCCTGAGCCATGTTATCAGGTCAAGACTGTGCGGTGGAGTAACTAATTGTGACTGTAAAAGGCGGAAGTGATGACACAATCGATGGTGTGTGACTAGGCCTTACACTCAGTACAGCTGTGTAACAATAACCACAAACTGGTTGGTCATTCTTGTGAATTTGCTGCATTACATTTGAATTTCAACATATACCACTGTATGATAAACCAGTCTGTTGAAATAAACTTGAACATAGCTAAAAGAAACTGTTCAGATACGAATGGTCAGACTTTGTATGATCCCATTTCACCTGATCTGTAAATTACAATTTAGTGCACACCAGTTTATGTCCCCATGACAGCCAGTAGGGCAGTGCTGTTTAGTATCTGCTCATTTATGCTACATGGAATTTTACTGGAACTCCTATAATGTTGATGTGATTCTGCCAGCATACACATCTGGACATGATACACTGACTATTGCATGACTGTTCATACAGTGCTACAGTATCTTACCTTATGTGACCACCGGGGCTGTATTAATAACTGCCCTTATGGGCCAGTACAGAGGGGGCAACACCAAATCATAAAATGTACAATTTCTACAATTTATTTGATGGATAATAAAATTTTCCTGTTTTCTTTTCTCTCATCTAGCCATCTCTAACAGATATTGCTAAATTCAAAGAAATAAACTGCAGGGAGAAAAGGGTGCAGGGGTGTTGAGAGGTATCAGAAGGCTCTTTATAGATCATGAATTTAAAAAAACAATCGGTCCTTTTGTTTGGTGGTCTGCACTGATACAAAGTACCTGTGGCTAGAAAGCCGACGGCATGCTGCTCCCAAGAGAGTATTCTAGCATTTTTCAGGTGAAACACCACTAAGAAAATACAACTCTAAGGCCTTATAAAACAAGGATTGTACATAGAACAATATCGGACCTCTGAAAAGTACAAGCATGCATATGTACTCAGTACTTGGTTTGGACCCCTTTTGCAGCACTTACTGCAATGACTTTTGCACGATATTCTAATTATTCGAGTTTCACCTGTATCTTTATTCGATCATCTTCTTCCTTACTGTACTTTTCAGCTGTCCCTCCAGCGCTGGTGCGGGTCTCCGATCCATCGCTGACTCCTCTGTCCTCCTCTTCTCTGATGTCCCACGGAGTCTGTGCATGCTGCTCCATAGACTTACCTTGTGTCTCTCCTCGTCTCCCGGCCGAACATCTGAACTGCCCATGCTCCAACCCCGAGATCCTTTGCGGCCACCCGATACTCTTCAGATGTTTGGACGGGAGCGCGCGGCGAAGACACAGGTAAGTTTAAACCTGTTTCAAAAGGTTTTTTTTTTTAAGTTTTTGCATATGTCTACTGCTTGCTAGCAGTAAATATATGCAAAAAAACGTGAGGGTTTAATAACCCTTTAAATTAGCTTTTATATCAATAAGGATAATTTGACCCTTTTTTTTATTTATTGAAAACAGTTTTTCTAGCTGTTTCTGTTACATTCTTTTTGTCTTTCATTGAAGTCAAAGTAATTTGTCATATGCCTATAATGCTGATCTCCCAGGCATCACCTCTATTCTTATTCACTTCCTCATCTCTTTGAAGGGGGAACTCCGATATCTCTTCTGAGTATTGACGGTTTTGAACAGATTATCGCCTTACTTTGCATACATGATTCAACAGACATGTGCCTTGCTTTGTGAAATCCATTGTGTTATTAACATTGTTATAAACGATGCGGGCTAAATTATGCAATTTTAATCTCTTGCTGCTGAAAGATTTAAAGTTGAATTTTCGGGAGATATAAAAGACAAATTAATGCAGCCCTGTAATCATTAATACATCATTAAATCTATTTTTTAAACACAAGCAGTATAAGTACCTGAATCTGACCAGGTATCAGCCTCTTGTAAGCCCAGTACAGCAGAGCTAGAGTGTGAAAAGTACAAGTACAGTACAAGAAGCCAACCAGTTCATGCACTGATAAGAAGCATGCTGATAGGAGGAGAAAGCAAATTGATAGAGAGATGTGCTCAGCCGCTCATCACTGCGCTGCATTTACCTTCACTGTCAAGAGGTTGGGTTGGGTACCTGAATTCAGAGGAAGTGGGTTGAATGATGCTGGATTTGAAACTGAGGACATCTAGCAGCAGAACAAAACTGCAGGGGAAATCTCTGCAATGAGAATGAATATTGCAGCACTAAATGGTTTTATTTTATTGTTTAATGGGCTTTTCATTTTTCATTTGTCATTTTTGGCGGGAGTTCTCCTTTAACCATTTACGGTTACTCAACTCATTTGGCTAGAGCAAGGGTGGGCAATTAATTTTCTCAAGGGGGCTCATGAGACACTGGGACTGTGTGGGGGCTGAACCAATAGGCTGAACATAATTGTGCTCAATGAGAGCACTGTACTACGCAACGCACCTACAGTGCATTACAGTGTTGCAGGTGCATTGCTATAGATTTGAATGGCACCCCAAATGCACCTCCCGGCCGTCCAGCAGTCCAAGCAACCAATGACTGCAGAACAGGAGGACCCCTGAGATCAATGGGTGCTAGGACCACCCAGAAGTCCCAGCAACCAATGACTGCAGAAGAGGAGGACCCCTGACATCAATGGCTGCTAGGACCACCGAGCAGTCCCAGTAACCAATGATTGCAGAAGAGGAGAACCCCTGACATCAATGGCTGCTAGGACCACCGAGCAGTCCCAGTAACCAATGACTGCAGAAGAGGAGGATTTCTGACATCAATGGCTGCTAGGACCACCCAGCAGTCCCAGCAACCGATGAATGCAGAGGAGAAGGAACCCTGACATCATTGGTTTCTAGGATGCCAGTGGTCCTAGCAACCAATGACTAAAGAGGAACATGGTCCGGACAGGGACTGATCACCTACTTGTGGTTGGCTATGGCTTGCAGTGGAGCGCCGGCCTCCACTGTCAACCAGCCATAACCGAGCACAGGTTGGCAATCCTTCAGTGTCCAGACAGGGACAGACAAAGGGCCGTTTAGTGCCCACAGGTCGTAAAACGCCCAACACTGGGCTAGAGCTACGCAGGAGATTTTTATTGGCTAATTCATACTAATAACATTTCTAGAGTGTAACTTAGAAATCGAGATTGTGGTCTTTTGGAGGGCTCTTTGGCTTGTGTGCCTGTTATACACGGATTTCTGCTGATTATTCCTACTTTGGTGTCCATACTGACTCGATTTACCCTATTTATGGATAGCCGAGTGATAAGATTGTGCAATACACATTTTTATATGTTATTTTAGATGTGTTGTTTCAGATGTTTAATAAATTATATGGATTTTATGAAATTATAGTTGCATTGTCAGTATGATGATGGGATCTCCCTAAATGGGACATGTGGTTACTAATGTGATATATTATAGGAGACCCACCATTGGGATTTATATACCATTAATATTACTGTGATTAGAACCCTCCTACCCTGTGTGTATATGTCTAAATGTCCTTTTTATGCTTTGAAATGTTTTATTTTATTGATATGTGGATGTTTCGTACAGTGACAGAAACAAGATCTTCAAAGAAGCAGACATTTTGCACAAAGCCAGGTTTAGCTATATCCTGCCAATCCTGGGAATTTGTTATGAGGAGGAAAATATTGGCATTGTGACAGAATACATGACCAATGGATCACTCAACCAGCTGTTACATGAGGTACGCACATCCTGTCCTGTAGATCAAACACAGCTATTGTCTTAACTTGCTTTGGATCCAAACTGGGAAGAAGTGGAATAAAAGGGCTGTACTTGCAAGGTTTGTCCTATTGGTGTGGCTGGCCAATTGGAATGTGAAAGAGTTGGTATAGGTGATCTGACTACCAGACAGACAGTTTCTACATTCCAAAAGGATCTCCACTGACTCCTTGGTTTGTGGTGCAGCATTGTAAATTGCCGTGCCACGCTCCATCTTATATTTCAGATACATCTTTTTTCAGTTGGGTTAAGGTAACAGTATAGAAATAGCCAACACATTTTGGGTGCTCATAAAGATACTCCCTTCATTAGGGCTTACTAAGGGAGAACATATATCAGGAGTGTAATGGCTTGAAATTGCATAATGTCTTGTCCAGTGTGTTAGAATGCATAGAGCTCTTCAGCAGCTCATTTGGGTTGCTGCAGAGCAAGGAAATTCCTATGCTCCTTGGCTCCATCTAGTGGCGGGAATGCCGTGCCAATAGCATTTGCCTTATAAATCATCCACTATATGTTATGTTTTCTTGCTGTGGACAATAAATAAACATAAATAAAAACATGTGGAGCTTCTGGTTATTCATGGGCTTTGACCCATCCTGAAACTAGACCTAACAACTCACTGACTCACCAATGGCAACAATTGGGCTTCACTCTTTGGTCTTTAATTGGTCTCTATGTAGTGAATTTGCTAAACTGCTGGAAAGAGGGTTAGAGGCACAGGATACCCAAAAAGTAGCAACATATCCCAGGCCTTCTTATATCAGCAACAAAAATGGATGGTGGCTCTAATCTCTGTAGTAAGAGTCTTCCAGTAGTAACAAAGTTGATGGTGGCCCTAATGTTGCAGTAACATCCTCCCAGTTGCAAAATAATTCTTTAAAGGAGAACTATGGGGTCAGTGTTTTTCCCCATAGTTCTCCTTGGGGTAACGGGAGGACACAAACTAGCGTCATCCCGTCACCCTAAGCTCAGTATACCGCAAGCTACAGCTCGCGGTATACTGAGACGCCGCACTTGGAGCGGATCCCGACGTAGATGACGGGATCCGCCCAGCTGCGTGAGTGACAGCTGGCTCTGCCTATCTAGAGGCAGAGCCAGCTGTACCCACCCCCTCCCCGTCCGTTCCGACAGTCAGCGCTGGCAGGTCGGAGCGGGGAGAGGGGAATCCAGCCCCTCCCCCTGTCACGGCAGAGGGCCGTGACAGGATCGAGAGGTGAGGGAACCCGGTATGTGTTCCATCACCTCCCGATCTACTGAGCCGACCTGTGACAGTCTCATTGTCACAGGTCGGCTTAGAACTATGAGGTGAGTGGAAATCACTCATCTCATAGTTCTCCTTTAAGTGCAGCTATTGGTTGCCCTAATATTTTAATAGCAGAGTCCCAATGGTACCTAACTGGACCCAAGAACACACCTCCTCATAATGACATGGACCCTTCTAGAAGGTGGCTCCAAAGATGTATCCTCTCCCCTCCCCTCAGCTTGCATCACCTGGAATAAAACCTTCAGTAGCCATGACCAATAAATATTTATATCTCAATACATTATTACGTTTCACGCTAACTACTGGAAACAACTCAACAGCAGCAGGCAGAAAAATATTCATAACACAATACATTCGGGGGGGATTAACTAAACCTATATGCAGGCTCTGTCCGTGTAGTGTGTTCACTGCACGAGCAGAGAGAGGCCTTTGAGTTGTTACGGAATATGAACTGTCTGCCAGGTTACTGACGGACTGTTCATGTTCTGTACCCTAGGTCCAGTCTGGTGGGCTTCTGCAGTAGTTTTCTACACTGAAAACTGCTGTCATCGCTTTGTTAATTAAGCATGGGACATGCACAAGTTTCTATTGCACTCTGAAATAGAATTTGGGGTGGGTGATAGACCTGAAACAGGTCTATGTGCTTTGTTAATGTTGCGCATGCCACTCATGCCAGTTTCCTGCACCATTATAATGATGCAGGAAGCTTTGTTAATTTCTCCCATTGTTACTTATCTCACTAGAGGGGGGCAACTTAACAACAGCAGACAGGGGAACCTAGCAAACACAGAAAACAAAGCTCAGACAGGCGATAGTCTAACTGCAAACAGCATTACATTTGGTTAAGAACCCTCCAGCTTAATGCAGGGTCCCTACAGCTCATCTCCACTCTGTCCAAAACTAACATATTTGGTGACTGGAATTCAGCTCTAACATTCAATGCATAGCTGTAAGACAGTATAGTTGGTGGTGATTGTATTGTTTTGTATTATAATAATAATTATTATTATTATTTTCAGGAAAACCCATCACCGGAGATTGTATGGCCGCTAAGGTTTCGGATTCTATATGAGATTGCATTAGGAGTAAATTTTCTACACAATATGACTCCCCCATTGCTGCACCATGACTTAAAGACACCAAATATCTTGCTAGACAGTGAATTCCATGTAAAGGTAAGGTCACTGGGTCAAACCGTGCAGGACCCTATTCACACTGAAAATACTATTTATCCACTTCATGGCCCAAAGGTGGAGGGAGACTTAACAGCTCATGTGCCCCAAATGGAAAAGTATTAATAGAACAAGGTGACCTTAGCTCAGAGAAAGGACGTTTGGGGCTATTTAAAAGGTACTATCGATGGTTTCTGGAACTGGCTGTTTTACACTAATTGAGAGACCTTTATTTCTGGTCTATTGTTACAATAGATTTTAAACATAATGCAAAGGGAAATAGCCAATAGGAATCTAGCTATGCATTCCTAGGGTGGTTTTTATTTTTCTGACTTATGTCTGACAATGTCAGACAAAAAAGGTTTACTCTGCTCGGGAGAAAGTGTTTCTCTCCCAGGCGGCCGGGAGCCGCTATCTAATAGCAGGAGACTCCCTGGCGACCCCTGGCAAATCGTCATTCGACCCCCGAAGGGGTCCCGACTCACAGGTTGAGAACCGCTGCTCTAGAGCCTTGGTTCTTAACTGGTGGGTTGTGACCCAAAAGTGGGTTGTTACCCCGTGTTCAGTGGGTCACTGCATGCCTTCCACTTTTCTAGGTGAGAGGCTCTTCAGCCTTCCCCTAGCACAGCACTGTCAGTTCTTGCACAGAGTAGCCATTCAAAATATGCTGCCCGGTGCCGAGTGTCAGCTTGAGGTATAGTGGGCTGAGGGTATGGCTGCGAGAGTGCTCCATCCATACGTGCATTGCTTACAGCTCCATTGAATGTCCTGCAGAGGTGCCTGGACCAGAACGATGTCACCTTCTGGCTCCTGACACCTCTACAAGGTGTGCAAGTGAGCTGTACAAGTGGATGCATATATGAATAGAGCTCCATCACAGCACAGCAACCCACACTGGACCCCAGGCTGAGTAATCACTCCAGGTCTCATAAGGTAGGGAGACTGGGTGGATTTAAAAAAAATAACATTTGATGGCCCTTTCACACTAGTACAGTGCGGTAATCACACAGTCCCGTGCTTTGCATTGCCATTCTTTTGATTGGCACCCCAAATGCATCTCCCACCCACAGTTCTATCGCCCACATCGGAACACGTTGTACCGCAATGCCATCCATTCTATTGCAGTGCGACTTGGGTCGTGACTTAATGACCAAGGACAAATGTGGGTCCTGAGGTTACACGGGCTAAGAACCACTGCTCTAGAGATACAGCAGATTTCATATGTTCTCCTGAAAGACAGCAGATTTAAGGCTAATTTTCAGACTCCTAGGGGACCAATAAGTGCTTTTAAAAATCAAAGACCCTCATTATTGTACAGGGAGATTTTACAACTTGTTAAATAATAAATAATTCTCCTTTATGGAGACGAGAGAAGAAAGAAACTTTCTATTTTGGTGTTATATATTTGATATCACAGCAGGTCATAATGCTGCAAACATTTTTTTAATTTTTGGATAGGACCCCTGCCAAATATTTCCTTTTAATTTCTGTCATGCAGACAGAAGAAAAAGTGAGAGAGGTGTGAGTGAGTGAGGGAAATGCCTTTTTAGACAGTGGTTACTGGAACAAATGTCCCCATTTCAGGATTTCCCATATAACTGTACTGATGACATCTCAAAATGTTTGACTTTTTCTAACTTTTAGTCCCAATGACAGTGGTCACTAGAACAAATAGGGTGACTCTCCCTTATAGGTACACAGATAGTTTAAAAGCTGCACAAAGGTATAACTCCTCCTAACCAATCTATCCAAAAATAAGAAAAAGGTTTGGCTTTAGATACACTTTATAGGTGGCAAGATATCTCATTGCCTGTTATTGGGGAAATCTTTCCCTTTTTGACAGCTTTTGTGAGACCAGAGTTCTCAAACATGTCCCCAAATATTTATTCTATAGCAATTTTCATAGGGAGGTGGTGGGACATTTTGTTACAGGTGTCAACACTGATTGACACTCCTTCCAAAGCCTGAAGGTGCCCACACACCTTCGCGGGAATCCCGCGATCGTACGATTATCGTAAGGTGTGGATGCCGTGCGACCTCTACTACTGTAAGGTCGCACGACTTTTATCTTACGAACATGTTCGAAAACCCGCCGAGAATCGGCAATCATCGCAAGTACCATCTCCCTGTCCAAGATACGATATGTTTTTTTAATTACCTTACAACCATCGCAAGACAAAAGTCTTGCGATGGTTGTAAGGTGTGTGCCCAGCCTAACACACCATAGGCAATTTACCACTGAAGGTGTATTCATTTCTGAGAGATGTCATTAGGTATTCATATCTACAATAAGTAGAGGCTCTAAGTTATTTTATTTGGCAACATCCAGTGAGGCAGCATCTCCATCAAAGACTGGACATATCATATAGACCAGTGAGTAGGTAAATGAAGAGTCGGCTTCAACTCTTGATAATAGATAATAGAACAATGGCCATTATACATATGTTGATTGTGCTTTGCTGTTTTGTTCTAGATTGCTGACTTTGGACTTTCAAAATGGCGCATGCTGTCACAGTCTTTCAGTGATCACACACCAGCTGGAGGAACTATTATATACATGCCCCCTGAAATGTATGAGCCCAACATCAATACCGGCAGAGGGAGTGTTAAGCACGATATGTATAGGTATGTCTATCAGCCTTTATAAAATACTGATTGCATTCTATGGGAGGTGGATGCAGGACCCCCCAAAGCTTTTGCATTAGAGGGAATAAAAGAGTACTATTCACAGTCTGATATTTTTAATGGTTTTTCAATTTGGTATGAAATATCAGTGTTAATTAAAGTGATATAAAACCCTATTTTTTTTTATATTTTATCCCTTTCTGCTGCAGGTGTCACTACTTACATTGCATGCAGCTTGTCTCACTGTTAAAGCTTTTTTTCCATCTTCTTTGGTTCACTCCCATGATCGCTGTCCCCACCTTCCCAGTTGCAGTTGGCTCTGTTTGCTTGTTAAGTCCCATGGAGACACCCATTCGTGCACGCTTCCAACATGCACAGGCAGCTGGAACAGGCTGGACTGGGTGCGCATGTGCGGTGGCACATAGCATCTTGGAATGTAGTCCCAAAAAGGGGGCGTTGGGGGGAATTTAAAAGGAGTAATGAGTGCGCGCTCCCAGCTGGAGGTTTGGGAAATCGGTGCACAGAAACCCAGAGGCTACGGTGAGGTTCCAATTGTATGTGTTTCTGAGCCTCAAAAGCATTTATTGTCAGCTGCATAACTGCTCCATACCAGTGTTTTTATGAGAAAAAATGTGAGGCTTTAGTTAATCTGGGAATCAATCATGACTGAAAGAATCTTCTGACTGGTGTTTAAAACATTGTGTTGAATGCTAAGAATATTCTTATGTCATTCCTGTGCATAGGTCTGCCTGTTGTCATATTTATTCATAAAATACCCCCTGACTTATTTCAGCTTTTCACATGGTAACAGAACACACAGTTAATTAATTTCTGTGTCCATTATTTCTTTGGGGTTTTTTTTTTTTGGATGTAGTCCTGAGATAACACCAGGGGAAAAGGAGAGTCTTGGCCTGTTTGGGGACTAATGTGAGCTAAAATGGACTGCTCAGCTTTATCTGCTCTGCACAGATACAGTATATGTTAAATCACACCAGACAATACATGTTCTGACGCTGGACCCTATTATTGTACTCTAGCTTGAAATTAAAGCTGAACTCCGGGCACAAAAATGTTTATTAAAATATATTCCTCAATAGACACGTATAGTATAAATCCACTATGTATGCACCAAATGCCTTTGCAGACCCAATATTGCCTTGTAAATTTAGGTGTGACATCATCATTGTGCTGTGACTAGACATGTAAGTTTTGTTTCATTCAGAATTAAAATTCGGAAAAATTTCTTTAATTTCGAATGCAAATGTATCTGAAATTTTGGATGCATCCAAATTCGAAGAAATCCGATTTTGTTCCCGAATTTCCAATTATAATGACCAGTATGGACAAAGATGACCAGTACGGACAAAGATGACCAGTACAGACTAAAATGACCAGTACGGACTAAGATGACCAGTATAGACCAAGATAATCGGTACGGACTAAGAGGACCATTACGGGAATGAGATGACCAGTGTGGACCAAAATGACCAGTATGGACTAAGATGACCAGTACGGACAAAGATCACCAGTACAGACTAAAATGACTAGTACAGACTAAAATGACCAGTACAGACTAAAATGACCAGTACAGACTAAAATGACCAGTACAGACTAAAATGACCAGTACAGACTAAAATGACCAGTACAGACTGAAATGACCAGTGCAGACTAAAATGACCACTGCAGACTAAAATGACCAGTGCAGACTAAAATGACCAGTGCAGACTAAAATGACCAGTTCAGACTAAAATGACCAGTACGGACTAAAATTACCAGTATGGACCAAGATGGCCGGTACGGAACAAGATGGCCGGTACGGAACAAGATGACCGGTACAGACTAAGAGGACCATTACGGAACAAGATGACCAGTATAGACTAAAATGACCAGTACACCCTAAGATGACCAGTACGAACTAAGAGGATAGTATGGACTAAGATGACCAGTACAGAATTAAAATGACCAAACTTAATTAGGCTCATGTTTAATTAAAGAACCCTATCCGAATTGATCCAAACCAAATATGCAAAATTTGAATCGATCCAAATTGAAAAAACAACAAATTAAAAATGTGAATTGACCCGAATTTTGACTAATGCACCAAATCAAATTTCAGATCTGAAATCCCCACCCCAAAAATGTGAATCAATCCCAAAGTAAATACATTTTTTAAGCCTTTACATGTCTAGCTGTGAAATAGCCTGTATTACGAGCTGAGCTGTGGGAGGGGCCCAGCAGGTTCTACCAGTGCAAGTTATCTGCAGAAAACTACAGGAGGGGGCAGATACAGGACCAGTCACCCTGCACCTGCAGAGAGAACAGCAGTGACTGGTATTTATTACAGGAAGCTCCTACACAAGGTTTCTGCACAGATCTAGAAGAAATACCCAAAGCACACCAAAATTGACTACAGAATACTCATGCCTCTTGTATTTAGACAATATTTTCTTGTCCTGGAGTTCAGCTTTAAGCTTTTACATATACTGTACATACACATTGGGCAAGAAGTTTAACCTAGTCTGTTGTAGTATATACCAGATGTTTTAATCCCAGATCAGTACCACTATAAGGTGTGGCAATTTCTTTAATGTAAGTATAGTGTAAATTTGCTACGTCAGGCCTCCTTCACCGTTTGCTGACACACCGCATGTGTGGGGTGTTAATTTGACACTTCTGTTGTAAACCAATAGGTTATGGTACATTCCATTGTTGTATCAACGGTAAAATGATAAATATTTGTTTTTCTTTCAGCTATGCTATTATCATGTGGGAAGTTCTGTCGAGGAAACAGCCGTATGAAGGTATTGTAATTATTTTGCCTTGCAGACGTCACAGAACACTTACTATGCAGAATTGTTAAAGCTGATTTATGAAAACTAAAGCTAAGGCATAATTCATATTTATAATTCTTTCATTCATTACTCCATTAATTGCACATGATAAAGAGAAGACTCCAAGGAATCCACACACCTAATATCGCACATAGTGGTAGAGAAAATTACAATGAAATGGCCCCTGTGAGGTATATCATTGTTTTGACACATATTTGCATTCCCATTACCCGTTGAACATTCTGTTAATTAAGCACCAGTTAAATATACAGGAATTGTAAAGAACATGACTGGTGCGGTGCTGCCCCCTTCTCACATTGATAGCTACACAAACCCCCTATCCATACAAAACTCTTGAAATACACATACATTGGAAGAGACAAATAACAATGTATTTCTTTGGCTTGATTTAATTATTGTAACACAATACAAATCCATTAACAACATAATAAAAATTGATAACATTAACAGAGTACAAAAGTGGGCCCCTTGAGTAGTGTACTGACAAATGATTCTAATAGAGAGCCAAATGTTATCATCCATAAAGCCAAAACAGCTCCCAATTGCCTCCTTAACACACAATCTACAACTTCAATTGCAGCATACAAAGTAAAGACAGTCCAATAGAATCCAGCAAGTGTTTCTTGGTAAAAAATATTATATAGTAGACCTCTCAGAAGCACCTTGATGTGCTTATTCATAATGAGTTAGGCTGTTAGTGGGAAATGCATCAAGGCACTTCCATTATGGCTGCTGTATATTATTTTTACTAATAAACACTTGCTGGATTGCAATAGTCCTTCAGTATTGGACTGCCTTTACTTTACATAATCTGTGGCCCAGGAGGGTGCTAAAGAAGGTGCATTGTGACCTATACATCATAACACAGTTTGCTTATTATAAGAATGGAAAAAGTTGTGGGCAATGTTAAAGGTCTGGTGACAGTTAAAGTGACACTAAACTCAGTAATTAAATCTTAAAAATGCATTCAAGTACCTTAACTATTAACAAAAATGTACCTTATTTGTGTATTACTCAGCTGTAGATGATCATCTTTTAAAGTAACATTAAACTCTACCCCCCCTCCCTTCCCAATCCTGCTGTAGGGACTTACCTTACGTGATGCCTCTTGATCAGATCATCTTCTTCTTTCCAGTAGTTTCCAGCAGTCCCTGCAGTGCTGGTGCAGTTCTCTGATCCAGCGCAGACTCCTCCGGTCCCACTGTGTCTTTCCAACGTTCATGCTCACGGCTGCGTGCATTGACTTCTATTGAGTCTCTTTCTCTTCTTCCCTTCTTCCCGCCGATGATCTCCACTGCGCATGCGCCCCCAGATCTTAAGCATGGCAGTTCGAGGAAGCTGGAAGCTGCAGCCGGGAGCAGAGGTAAGTATTTACCTATTTGGTAACTTTTTATTTAAAAAAATGTTTTTGCATATATCTAGTGCTTGCTAGCAGTAGATATGTTGAAAAAAAAATAAGACTTTAATTCTACTTTAATTGGACACTGTCCTTCCTTCTGGAGGGTGGCTATTTTTGTTCCCCATTGTCCCTGTATGTGTTGTAAAGTAGCCACTGCTGCAAGCTTGCTCCCGTGATGAACTATAATCTCAGTACAAATTAGTAAACTAAACCTGAGATTGTAGTCCATCACAGAAGTAAGCTTAGATCGGTTGCTACTTTACAACACCCACAGGGACCATGGGGAACAAGAGTAGCCACCCTCCCGAAGGAAAGATGATTTGTGGATATACAGCTGAGTGATACACAAATAAGGTCTGGTATTGCTAATAGTTAAAGAACTTGAATGCATTTTTAAGATTTAACTCCTGAGTTTAGTGTCACTTTAAGAGAGGTATTTAATCTACCATATGGTCACAGTATGGAAATGAGAAGAGAAGGACACTTTCAGTTTTATTAAGAAAATGTTCACTGCAATTATTTTATCAGGTGCCACAAACCCAATGCAAATCATGTTCAGTGTGGCAAAGGGTAATCGTCCAGACTTAACTGAGGAGAGCCTTCCTGCAAACATGCCTCATCGGGATGTGTTTATATCATTAATGCAGAGCGGCTGGGCCTGCGAACCCAATGACAGACCGGCTTTCCTGAGTAAGTAGGATGGGTACAAAAGCCAACAAAGCTAATTTTCACTGGCTGCTATGGGGTTGGGGTGGTTGTGCAGTTAGAGTACAGTTAGCAATAATTATAATTCTGTTATGTTTTTGTCACTAGAATGTTTGTTGGACCTTGAGCCTCTGATCAGAAGTTATGATGATGTTTCAATGCTGGAAGGAATACTGCACATAAAGAGAGTAAGTAGCATGTGTCTCTATGTGTCTGCACTTATATTTAGATACCAGCTATCCCATAGTGCGGCCTTGGACAACAGCTGAAAAAAAGCAAATTTGTGAAGTGGAAACTAAAGACACTTTTCCATGGTCCAACCCAGAACTCTGTATACATATTTTGTTAATATAGTTTTTCCATATACAGTATTTTTTTCTAGTTTTTCCAATTTGAAATTGCCTTATGTTATGTTACCTTAAAATGTATTTAAAGTCAAGAACAAAAATGCATTATACTGCAGCTTACCAGTCCTTAGATGTGAAGGCTGCATTAGTTTTCTTTTTCAGGTTTTTTTCTTTCTGACGTTAACAAACTTCCTTACACCTCTCCCCCCACGACGGGTGGGTGTTTTAAAACATCCCTTCATTTAAATTGCATACAGCTGGCTATGGCTGTTCCATACAAGTGTTTGGGTGGCTATAGAGCCACCTGATCACTTGTATGATTCTGGGTAGTGTGCCCCTCCTCTGCAGGCGGCTATTCCAGGCCCCGCAGTCCTGCGTGCAGGCCTGAGACTGGCATGGCGGGTCTCTTTTGCTGGAACGGAGGGAGATCAGCACACTTTTACCTGCTGATCTCCCTCCGATCACTGGACCCGGAAGTGATGTGTATTATCACTTCCGGTTTTAAGCTGTAATTTCTCTGCTTCATCAGCTTCTTTGGGGTCCCTAGGTGACATTAGGGGTCTAATTAATCCCCTGATGTTTCCATAAAGGGGACCTTTCACTGTATTTTTGCTATCACAGAGGGGTCTTGTTAGCCCCCTTTGTGATAGCAATAGTAAAGTGCAAAAAAAAAAGTATAATAATTATAATCACACATAAAAAAAAACTTACTAAAAAAATTATTTTTATTTTAAGTCCCCGCCCCCACATACAATAGTAAACATGCGTTGGGTGTGCTTATGTGTGAAAATGACAATTGCGGCACACATGTTACATATCATTGTTGGAGTGCAAGCAACAATTCTAGGACCATCAATCACTGTTAACACTAAATAGATGAGCCTTAAAAGTACTTAAAATATCACATATTGGCAATTTTGGGTATGATAGCTTTTTGCGATTTCGTGGGCGCACACAATTTTAAGGCTTGACATGTTTAGTATCTATTTACCCAACGTGACCCCATCTTTTATATCTTACCCAAAAATTGGGCAGTAATAAATGTTTAATAACATAAAATAGGGAGAAGCTCTATCTCTACCAAAAAAACTCTAAAAAATGAATTTTGGTATGGCACTGCATGAATAAATTAGGCGCTGAATAAATGTCCACAATGCTTAATTTCTAAAAAATGGCCAGGACAGGAACGGGGTTTAACACCCCAGTCTTCAAATGGTTAAATATGCACTATGTATTGTGTAGTAAATATTGGTATTATAGAAGCACTATGTTTATTTTATTATTTTATGCCATGGTGCTTGTAAATAATTGATCAAATATTTTTTAGGCAAGAGGGAACATTCCACCAGACTGGAGAACCTCTTCAAATATTTCTGTATCTCATATGCTAACTGTAAGTTATGTCTCTGGATACATTTACCACCATCAGTTGCACTTTATTTTGTATTTACCTAGGCTATGAATACAGTATGAGGCTTTTCCATTATCATAAGGCAGCACTCACACAAAAGGACATTTTCCAGACTGAGTGCTCCAAATTAAAAATTAATCTGCATTCCTTCCTGACATGCAAAGTATATAGTTGTACAATCATAAATCAATGGAATCAAAATCATTTTTTGTATTTGATGAACATCTAATGTACACCTGTCTGTGCATCAGCATGGGGACAAGGTGCTTTTCCAGGGAGGTTCCGAATGCCAAGGGCATGTGGCCTGGTATGGCACAGGGAGGGGGGGGGGCGTTCGCTCGTCCCCCCCCTTTTCTGCCCTGCCAGGCCAGTGCTCAGATTAAGGGTCCGGTTGCAAATTTTAGGGGGAATTCCTACCTAATGGGCCTGGTATGACTTTTGGGGGGAAACCCACACATTTTTTTTTCAACTTGGGGGGGTCCCTCCTAACTTTCTAACTTTCCTATCAGACCTGAAGTCTATCAGACCTGGGTATGAATAGGGAGGGGGACCGCACACTTTTTTTCAAATTCTGCTCACTACCTCTGAGGCAGCTAATAGAATAACCGAGCCGAATGCTGCTCAGCAGCATTCGGCTATTCACTCACTGCTGTTCAGCTCCTATCAGAATAGTGGCGAACAGCAGTGAATGAACTGCTGGATGTTCGGCTCAGCCGATCCAGATGTTGGATCGACTAAGTCGAACATGTTCTTCACTTCGGCTCAGTTGAACATGATGCGCATGTTCGGCTGACCCGAAGGGAGCCGAAGCCAGCTGATGTACAACTGAAATCAGCCGTACTCAGCTGAATTGAACAGCTGGGATGACGTTTGGCTCACTTTACTTCGGCTTGGTTATTCACCCGGCATCCTTCGGCAGCTTAGTGACTAACCCTCTTAGTGGTAATTCTCAAGTGCAATTAGGGCTTTCTGTGAATTCTGGCTGCAAGATCTGCAGATTCCTTGGCTGTTCGGATGTAGTCAGACACCGGTTACCTGCATTTAGGGACATATCATCTGTCCCTAACCACACACCTCAGATTCTGGCTGCAGGATTCCTCAGATTTCTAGGATTTGTACATAGCCCTAACTGCAGATGTGAATTGGCATCTTCCTAATTAGGGCTTTGAATGCACTTTTTTCCTTTTTGTATATTTGACCCTCTCTATTTGTCCTTTTGACCTTTGTCTCTGGGACAGAAAGTGTTGCAGTGGTCACCAGAACAAGAGGTAAGGGTGACTCTTCCAACAAGGACACTTGTCTACTGTCTAAGAGGGGACTTTCCCTCACTTTGGGAGATTTCCTCTCACTTCCTAGTTGTGTTTCTGGGACAGAAGGGCAATCTTCCCAACACGACATAGACAGCAAGGAAAAAAACTGACAGGGAATTTCACCCTTCCTTGCTCTATAATAAATTGAAAATGAAGGTATTGGCTGTAAACCTGTTAGAAGTGTAAACTTGTTTTTAAACTTATAGACTATGTAGACCAGGGTATAGTGAAGCAAAATACTTTGTGTAAAAATAGCTCTTTTATTTTCTCATTAAAAAAAAAAAAAGCAACACAGCAAAAAATTAATCTACAACTACCACGTTTTGAGTTTGGCTTCAAAGAGAGCTAGTATGGACTCAAATTGTGAACATTTTTTCAAATTATTAAAATACAAACGTTAGTTTTTGGGGTGGGACACCTTTTGCTATAATATGTTCGGGTTAACCCTGTGACCCAGTAGACTATGGCAGTACATACATGGTGGGGCTGATTAACAAAAACTAGAGTAGTTCCAGTGGCAACCAATCAGATCTTCCGCTTCATGTGTAAGATGAAACCTAAATGTCTGGTTGTCATAAACAACTGCTAAACATTTTCCAGTTTTCTTTGCTGTGATTTGTGCAAATAGCCTCAATATCCTTACAATTTGTATAGACTTGCTCAGTTTTAGAAAGGAGTATCAATGTTTTGTTACTTACATTATTTTTCTCTTATATAAATACACAGGGTAGCATGTCTGCTGCTTCTAATGTTATTTCCGATGCACCAAGTTCTACTGATGGTATGTATCTTTTTTTTTAGAATTAGTAATACTATTACTGGCATGTTACAATGACTCCTACTAGAATCACCAGTAAGTCATTCTTTTAATTCCTGAATTCTCTGACTGCCAGGCATTGCATACAAATCTGATTCCTTTTTGTTGGGTTTACATTCTGCTTTCAGCAGAATTGCACTGATGGTTCTTTGTGACTCCAGCCGAGCAATTTCCCTCAGCACTGACTTTGCTTTTTAGCTTGGGGTGGAAAACTAGAGGGGCTCCAGGCACTGACCAAAGGGAGATCTCTGCATCTTTTATTATATTGTGCTCTGTAGATTATAGATGGAGGTAAAAGCTTGCAATGGGACACATGGCTGGGGAAGACAGGATTTCAGTCACATACTATATCCTGATAGTGCCACACGGTCACATTGTGAAGCAGGTTCCAAAAGTGTTGGATGGGGTACTGGAGTCCACTGTAAGATTAACTAAGATTGCCAGGCTGCTCACATGTAACAAAAGAATGCCATAGTCTGCATACATGTTACAAAAGAATGTCAGAATACTTACATGTTAATGCACACCATTGTTCACTAATTGGCAGAGAAGATTTTTTGTAAATGGTCCAAGCTGCTTTAATTTCAAAACCATAACTAATTGTCCTGATCAAAAAACAGTTTGGTGCCTGAAATGTAAAGTAGAACCATAACCACAAATAAATAGCCACAGTATGTAAATATATAACATCATGGAATGTACTGTATATTCAGCAAGATCACCCGAGTGTTACTGTACCCGACTGTAGCATTAGAGGTCTGAGGAAAGTAGTGGCCACAGAGGGATTCAGATCTCTAAATTAACCAGCATTATACATGGGCCACACTGACCCTGAAAGCCTGGAATGGGACAATAAGGTGCACTTGGGAAGGGCGCTGTCGTCTAATGCCTCCCATGATGTCACCACTGGTAAGACCATCCCAGCTGTGCTAGATGTAGTGAAAGGTTTCAAGTGAAGCTACTAATGTAAGCTAATGTACTAATGTAAAACAGTTTTAATTATGTTCTAAAATGAGTATTAAAGGAACCTTATCACAATAACAATATCAAAGTTGTTGACTTGTTTTACAACCTATCAGTTCCGAAGATGTTGTCTGTAAACTCTGGCTTTGCTGCTTAGTGACTCACTGATCTGGAAAAAGTGTGCTTGTAGTCAAATTGAAAGTTCTGATTTGCATATTACTTTTGGGTCAATGACTTACTAGGTTGTGAAGCCAAATGATGAAGATATCAAACCTGGTTTTAAAAACTACCTGGTAATTGCAGCTTCCATATTTTATCATAGCACCTGCCCTTTTAGACATTCTGGAGATTGTAAGAACAGCAGGTATTTCAAATTAATATGAAATCATTTTAAATTTAAGAAAATTTACAACAGCAGATTATATGGAGAATTATACATTTATAAATGATAAATGTCAGACCCTGCCTATAATAATATCCAATATCAGCAACAATCCCATTGCCTCTTATATACCATATTCCTTCTTTCCCCTCTTCTTTGCAGTACCCATTCAGTATGTAACAAACTCATTTAAGTTTATAATTTGAAACATCTTTTATTTCATCCTTTATTCCTAGTCTTAGAAGAAACATGGCCGAATACCTCTGGGGCACACGGAACTCCAAAGTCCATCACCACATATCAACCTGGTAATAAACATTGTGGTGTCTGGTGTTCTTCTATCTGAATGCTGTTTTTTGTTAAGTCATTCCAGTTCCTTCCTTATCTCTTCTATTTTCTGTGGTAAACTACAAAAATCAATTAATCAATCTTTTGGACCAGCTACTTAGTTTTTGGACCATTTCTCTTCATGATTTCTACAGTTCTTCTATACTGACATCTTTGTAATCATGAGGGTTGGTTTCAGCATCCCCAATGACGCTAATAACCTTTCTGCCAATAAACTTGATGCTAAGGTTTTACTGTTTCTTGGATTACCTGTAATGTTTTTGGATGGGCAGTCAGTGACTATAATTACCTCAATAGACCTCTGTGTGTTTGTACAGCAAAAGCTCAATAATGGGTTCCTTTCTCTTCTCCATCTATAACTATAGTCCCGATTCCCATCTTTTTTCCATCTATACCTATGATCCTAATTCCCTGGTCATATCCAGCTATAACCATGGCCCTTGCTCCCTTCTCTTCTCCATCTATAACTATGGTCCTGCCTCCCTTCTCTTCTCCATCTATGAGTATGGTCCTGACTCCATTCTCATCTTCATCTATATTTGTGGTTCTGGCTCCCTTCTTTTCTGCACCTATAACCATGGCCCTAGCCCATTCTCTTCTCCATCTATGACTATGGTCCTGGCTCCCTTCTCTTCTCTGTCTATAATTACGGTCCTAACTCCCTTCTCCTCTCCATCTATGTCTATGGTGGTGGCTCCCTTCTCTTCTATATCTAAACCATGGCCCTAGCTCAATTCTCTTCTCCATCTATGACTATGGTCCTGGCTCCCTACTCTTCTCTATCTATAATCATGGCCCTGACTCCTTTCTCTTCTCCATCTCGAGTTGAACTCGATGGACTTGTGTCTTTTTTCAACCTGACTAACTATGTAAATCTGTAACTATGTTCCCAGTCAGATAAGTAGCTCATATTGATTGCGATATCACTTAGGTGTAGATGCTCTTCAAATGTGTCTCTCAGGTCTGGATATCTCCTTTTTAATACAATATGCTGCAATTTGCTGTCTCTTCTTTTACATCTACTTACTTCCTTAGACATCATCTGGATAAAACATGTTGCCATATCTGTCTGTCACCTCCTCTGAAATATGTCATCCCTATAACCAAGCTCCCCCACCTCTCTGCTTTATTATCTTATGGGATTCCACTCTCTCATTTAAAGGGAACCAGTAGTTAGAGAATAATTGAGGTTGCCATTGCTGACCTCCCTCTGAAAATGCTAATTGCAGGACTTCCTAATATGTTATTAAAGGTACAAGGTTTCAGGACCTTCTTTATGTCCATATCTTATGCATTATACAATTGCGAAAACGGTTCTAAAACCTGCATAGTTATATAAAAGAAAAAGAAGCAGTAAAATATTATATAACCAAGAACAGAATACAACTATTTTTTTTCTTGACATACTTGAATCCTCTTTAAATATAAAGTTTAGAAGGAAATTAAAATAAACATGAATAATGTATATTGTTTTTCTTGCAGACTTTGATAGGTCACAACCACCAACATATACACAAACAACTAACCCTTCTTCTGATACACGAGTAATTGGTATGTGCAAATGTATTTTTATTTCAATAGATTTCAATAGAGTATTAAGTGTATATGGTTTAAGACTCCATAAATGTATTCAGTACAATTGCTTAAAATATTTGTTCACATAATGTGGACTGACATACCTGGACTCCTTGGTGTAAAGTTGATTGGCTGGGATGAATTTTCCTGGTAGATTATGGTTGTTTTCCTCAGCTGGCACCTACAGCACTACTCCCTCCCTTCTTCATAGATACAAACATCCAAGATCACTTGATTGTAAAAATGGCCATTCATCATAATGATTTTTCCACAGACAAGTTGTGTATGCATGGCCTTCATCCATTCACCACTTAAAGTGTATGAAAACTCTACTAAGGGTTATTTACTCCCTTTTGGTCTGATCATACCATTGAAAGTGTGGGATACGAGTGAGCTAAGAAATAACTTCTCATAAGGCTTACAGTATATTGCTATATGCAGAGGCGTAACTAGAACCTTCAGGGCCCCGGTGCAAGAAACCATGAAGGCCCCCCCCCCCAAAAAAAAAATTAGATACATTTATTTTAAAAAACAAACAAAAA